AGAGAGAGAGAGAGAGAGAGAGAGAGAGAGAGAGAGAGAGAGAGAGAGAGAGAGAGAACACTCATTAGTTGGATCATGCATGTAACTGAGGGACCGACTTGCGACTCAGGTTTAGTAAGCCACCGCGACATTGATCCCAGGCGCCTTGTTTCTTGAGGCTGCCCTGTAAATAGGTTGTAGAAGTTGTGCATTATAAGGCAGATGACATGCGCAGTGTATTCAGAACTATAGATCCAAACACTCTTGCATTCTCGAACAAAATCCCGCCGAGCGAGGCGCCTAATCAATACAAAAAAGCAAGCACCTCCATACATGCATTCACTGTGAAAGGTGCGAAAATGACAAGGGTGCACAGGTTGGAAATCAACCAAGGGAATTGTACACACGCATCCACCGTTCACAAGACAAGAGGATCAATTCTTCGACATCCGGGGATTACCCAGGAAACTAATGGAAGAGTTCCGGAAGGAGTTCCTTCACGCAGGAGAGCACACACATTCATTCTCATTCATGAGAGGGACAAGCATTAAGACACATCATCATCATTCAAAGATAGAGGAGAGAGAGAGAGACGAGGAGGAAGGTCGAGATAGGAGATGACAAGATCCCCAAAAAAAAGGAAGTTCGGCGTTGCCGCCGTACACTCACGCCAGAGATTAAGATCCGCAACAACAAAGGCGCATTCGCCGTGAATTCCAATATGGCCCCGGGCCAACCACCCACTCAACTCCAATCATCGATCCTCATGCCCGCACCGACGATCCCGACCGTCGCGTGCTAACTCCCACCACTGCGATCGTCACCCCGCCGACGTAAACTCGACGCGGTTCGCCCAGATCCCACAGTCCGTCATGGCAATCAAGCGCGCAACCGGCCAGCCTATCGTCAGGCCGACAGGACTTTCCGACTCGCACCAAACACTCTGCCTAGCCACCGCTTCCCGGAAGATGGCTTGGGAGTTGAGAACGTAAGAGAGATTTGCGGGCGCGTTTGCAGAATTTATAGTGGTGAGAAGGGGGGCAAGGGAGAGAGAAAGCAGGGGCAAAATCGAAGTGTAAGAGAAGAAGCAGGAGAAGAAGACTTGGCGAGGAGCGCGCTACGGAAGCCATGTTGATCCTTCGGGACTCTGAGCTTCGCCAATCAGATTCGTCGCGCAATAGGCAGATCCTATCGTACCACGCGTCTGATTGGTGGGCGAGAGTAATCGAAGGATCGACCGGGCTTCCGATTCACGTTCGAAAGGAAAAAAAAGGGCGCGAGAAGTAGCGCAAGACGGGTCCAAGATTCAGATGATCAAGAAAGTGAAATGGGTGCGCAACCGATCAGAGCGGGAGAGAGAGAAAAAAAACAGTTGCGAGAAGGGAGGATGAGAAGGGTGGGGGGGAGGAGGAAAGCTTCGTGTGCGTGGCGCCGTCAACAAAAAGAAAAAGAAAAAGGCACCGAAACAGTTACAGCTTGCCTATGTCCTAAACCAATTCAAAATTGAAATCACCATATCCGCGCGTGAAAAGGACGACGCGGGAAAAGCAGGTCCTACACCTATTCGTATCCTTACAAAATTCCGAGAGTTTTCCCCGATGCAACCGAGAGCATTCACTCACAGAAAGGATACATCGAAGTTCCGCTTATCCCGGAATTCCCAACTGCCGGGCCCAATTCCCAATGCGCTCGCTAAGGCGCGCGTAAATTCCTATGCATTTCCCGGATTGCAAAAGAAAAAAGCAGAACCGAAGAATCACAAAAGCTTCCGGAAGATGGGGGCTCAAAAACGCGGCGCCCGAAATCAAGAAAACAAACGGGATGCTTGCAGGGTCGGTATGATACAAGAAAAATTCAAAGTTTTTTTCAAACCAAAGGGGTACGAAAGATAGCACAGGTTCGGGAAGCAGTTCGTCACATATGTGACGTGCAGGGGGTTCCAAAATTATGCGATCTCCTGATTGCATGTCACGGCGGAGAAGGAAGGAGGGGGAAGAGTGATGCGTGAGGAACCAAGTGTATCAGCAGATAATCGAGCCAGAGTTCATGTTCACGCCAACTTCAATTGCAATCTCCTCGTGAGTCTACTGGCTCGTGCTGCTGGAATCGTCGGAGGTCGTCCTGGTGACGCCATCATCGATCGCTGGTTCTTCGTGTTCTCTGCACCCCGGCTCGTCGCGGCCCGTCGAATCAGAGCGTAGGTTGACGTCATCGTTGATAGCATGATCTTCGCGAGGCTTACTGATTCGTGCTGTTTTCCCCTGTCGATTGGGTGAAAGGGGGGGGGGGAGGAATAGTCATGCGATGGGGTTTTACCGCCTTGTTGGGATGGGTCAGTAGAGGCAGTACATGGAGGGAAGTCCGCAGGGACGATGGGGAGGAAGTGGGGGTAGATAGCGATTCAATCCTTTTACTGTCACTGGAAGTTCCTCATAGCGAATGATCCGGTGAAAACGAGGGAAGCGATTGCCGCTATGAGGGAGAGAGGCAAGGTAGTTGCGGTAGAGGGAGGAGAGGGTGCGGAAAAGCGCTGCGCGAAAGAAATCGTAGTGGCGAGAGGCGGGGATTGTCCCTCTGGCTACGCAGTAGACTTCTACTACGTTGCACTGCTCCCACACAACACTCAACAACAGGATGTGTAGACAGAATGTCGGGGCAGCGGGCTGAAGGGAGCGGTGAGGGTAGACGGTAGTGATTAGGCGCGTAGAGTAGAAATCACTGAAGAGATGGGGATGGAAGGGGTGGCGGGGGAAGGTGACGGGGGTATGGATCTGCTCGAGGGTGAGGTAATCAAGGGGACGGCGGGATAATGTCCGGGGACGAAGGCCTATCCCCCGCATCGGTACGTGGACGAACTGGGGGACGGGTGGGGTTGGAGGGGGAGGAGGATCGGCTTCGTCTCCATCGTGAGGTGCTTGGGGTGGCGGCTGCTGGGTCGCCATCTTCAGGCTTCGGCGGCTCCGGATCCTTGGTCGGATCATCACCGATGTGCAGGCTTGCTCCGCTGGCGAACTCCAGCTGGCGTTTCCCGGTGGCAATTTCTTTTCGTTTGCGTGCTGCCTCAGGATCTTCCGCCTCCGTGCCAGTACGTGTCGCTTCCTCCGGCAAGGCTGCCCACTCAGACCCTGTTTCTTCTTCCTCTTCTTCTTCTTCTTCGCTCTGTTCGCCCTCGCTATACTCGTTATAGCTTCCCTCTTCCGATGTCTCATCGTCGTCGTCACTTTCCTCTTCTTCTATCACCACCTCCTCCGCCTTCGGACTTTGGATAGAAAGCGTGATTGATGATGCCGTATGGCTTCAGATACTTTTGCCGTGACAGTAGAGAGTCTTCGTCCCCAGGCTCTTCCAAACATGCACTCCACTGAAGATACGGATCCAACGTTCGCGTGAGTACGTGCGGAGCGGGGCTGTCGTCGCTTTGCAAAACGATATCAGGAGAGAGATCGCCCGCCAGTTGCACGATCGGCGTAATGAGTTCTTGAGCGATTAGCTGGCGATGTCCCGACCGCATCGATCCGAAGAGAAAACCGAGGAGATCACCCTCCACGTTAGTCCTCCAAGCCTGTATGATCAACAATTCCATAATTTCGAGCCACGCGGGATGCTCGCTGGTCCGCATCCACGTCACCTGCACTCGAGCCAAACACATGGACAGTTCGACAAAGGTCTCGCGCCAAAGTCGCCAATGCCCAGGATTAAGAAGCGGGACGGAAAGGGGTTCGATCGAGAGGGAAAGATGAGGATGAAGATCGGACTGCCAGAAGGTAGGGAAAAGAGAGGGGAGACCGAAGATGGAGAGAGGAGCGAGGGGGGCGGCGTGGTTCATCGGGGGCGTGGGAAAGCAACGAGGGTAGGGATCGCAACTGCTGGCTCGCGCGGAGAGAGGCGGACCCCGTCAAGATCAGGTCCAAAGGTCGGGATAAGATTGTGCCCTGGTCGGGCAAGACCGTTCTGCACACGTTGGACACCTATTCCGTCCACTCTCGCAGCGAGGTCAAGATCGCGGTATGCCACAGTGGATTGACCGTACTGATGTCGCCGCTGAAAGCCGCGACCGTGGTGACGTGACTCGTTCCGGGAGCCGCCCGCCGATGTACCGCTACCACCTCCGCCAATACTATTGTCTGCCGACTCCCTTCGAATCGAAACGCGGCGGCTGCACACACACCCACGTCGCAGAAGAACTGCGCCAGACGTTGAAGATCCGTATTAAGCCGTGGATGACGAACTTGCCGAATTTCCAAGATGTGGCCACGTGGCTACAACAGTTGATCATCGAGAACCTGCCCCGTGATGAAGCTCGTGGCGAGGACGGAGAGGAAGACGAAGGGCACGAGGGAGAGAGAGTTAGATTGTCGTCGTTCTCCTCGCCTTCGGAGGAGGAAGAAGGGGGAAGATAAGAGGGAGGGAGAGGTCGGAGGTAGGAGGTATGTCGGACGATGGGGACAGAGCTATGGCTGGCACTAGCCTCGAGCGCGATGCGCACCGTGTTAGCGCCGTTCGGTCCGAGCTCGACAACGCAAAAACAACCAGAAAACTTGGGAGTGAGTTTCCGGTCGCGTGCACATTTACGTATCTGCACTAGGTCCCCTAATTTATATTGATGCTGGGGCCCAGCATTTCCATTTCGAGCCTCGCAGCTACGGACCTGCCTACCATGGGCCAGATCGGTCATCCTCCATCTTTTTCGGGCTAGCTTTGGGATGGTCCGTTCCATTAAATCGGTATACCTTTTGGCCTTAGCCTTGAGGGCGGCACGCGTGTGTCTGCCCCCTGCTTCGGCAGTTTCCAAGTTACCCCGGTAGTCGACACAGGGGAGGCTATTAGCGCGAAGCTGAAAGGGGGTGAACCCTGTGGACTCATGAGGGGTGGCCCGGTGAATTTCGACGATCTGATATACGATCTCGGGCCACGGACGCATGTCATGTGCCGCTAAATTCCTGCGAAGGGCGATTTTAATCATACGGTTGGCATTTTCGGCCAACCCGTTCATCTGAGACACGTGGGGCGCCTTATGTCGGAGCATGATGCCCTCTTGCGCGAGCAGTTCCTCTACTTCGCCTTTAAATTCGGACCCATTGTCGGTCAGAATTTCCTCCGTATCTAGATGGGTATAGAGGAATCGATCGATGTACGTGGCTATTTTTGCGGCCTTGCGGGTCTTGCAGGGGTAGACCTTGATGTACTTGGAAAAATGATCTATTAATACTAAGAGGATAGAATATTCGCAGCGGTTTGGGCCAGGTGGCACGTCAATATCTGTCGTGTCCATACTGACTCGCTGGAAGGGGCGTTCTACTTTCGTTGGTACTATCGTGTTTGGTCCCCGTATTGGGGCGTGATCAGCGGCACAGACCAGACAGTTGGCGACAACATATCTGACATCATCTCGTATATTGGACCTCCGTGACACGTATCGCGAAATGAGCGGCCTGCTCTTCGTGAGCAGATCAGGTCCAATCATATCTCTGGAATGGATGAGGAACTGTCAACCATGAACCCGATCCGTCAGTTTTACGCTTCTCTAAATGACCGTTGATCCATCGATAGTCCCGAGATCTCTCGGTAGCCCTACGTCTGTCATGTTTGGTGAGGTGACCCAACGGTAATCCCGCCAATTTAGCTAATAAAATTTTATCGGTCCACACCTCCGCCCGACGGTATTTCTCGTCATATTCAGGTCCGTCCGTTCGGGCAGCCTCGAATCGAACCTCCGTGGGAAGTTTGGTCGTTCTACACAGGGGGCACCTCCACTCCTTGCTATTCGTCCGATAGCGAACACAGGCCCCGTGCGCACGATTGACACATGTGGCACATTCTACCCAATCGACAAACCCGGTTTCAAAAGGATGACAGTCAACTCCATAAACCCGTGCAATACATGTGCCAAAATAACAAAATTTATCAGGGAGGGTGGCAAAGAAAGCGGAGGAGGTGAGAGGGGCAGAATTAGTAGGAGAAGAGGGGGTCGCAGAGACGGGTGGGGTAGTCATGATGGCAGAGAGGGAAAGTCAGGACTGAGATTGCAGAAGGGGGCAGAACAAAAAATGGACCCCGTGTCACTTACTCCTTTGATAGGATCTCCACCTGGCCGTACCGAGGTCCGTTCTCCTTCTTTGGGTCGTTCCACGGAATCACCTCCTCATTCTTCGGAACCTTCTCAGGTCGGTGCAGTCGTGTTAATCCGTCCGCATTCCCATGCCTTTCATGTTTCCGGTGACGAATGTCAAAGTCCATGCTCTGCAGCACCATTGCCCATCACCCGATCATGCCCGAGTAATCCTTAGATTTCTTCAGGACTAGCAGAGGCTCATGATCGATTACCAATGTGAACTTCCGCCCATACAAGTAAGCTCGGAAGTGACTGATTCCCCAGAGAGCCACGTAGCATTCTCCTGTTGGAGCAGCGTAGTTACGCTTGCAGGCGGGCACGGATTTGAACGCATACTCCACCATGTTTTCGGGTCCGCTTGGTCCCACCTGGGCCAAGATTGCCGAAATTTCCTCTAGCTGCCAGTCAATAATGGGGACAAAAGGTTTTTCGGGATCCGGCCTTATAAGGACCGGGGCCGAAATGAGGGTGGCCTTGAGTTCCAAAAACGCTCGCTCACACTCCGGCGTCCAGATCAACGGCTGGTCCTTTCGCATCAGATTCGTAAGGGGTCCCGCAATCGCCTCGAAGCCCTTGATAAACCTTCGGTAGTATGAGGCCAGGCCCAAAAAGGCGCGAACCTACGTAATAGTCATAGGCACCGGCGCATCTGCTACCTTTTGCGGCTCCGGTCTAAGTCCCTGGCCTCTTACCACGTGTCCAAGGAAGGAAATGGTGGTAAGAAAAAACTGGCACTTCTCGAACGCCACCTTAAAACCAGCATCTCGTAACGCATGCAACGCCCATTCGATGTGTTGTACGTGCCCTTCGTAGGAACTCAAATACACCAAGATGTCATCCATGTACACAATCACGCAGTAGTTGATGATACTTTGTGTCAGACGAGTCTTCCGCATAGAGTTCTGAAAGGCCATGTTCATGGCTCGCTGGAAAGTTGTGGGGGCATTGCAGATCCCCATCGGGCATCGAATCCACTGCCACGTACCTTCGAAGAGTACGAACGCAGTCTTCAGACGATCTTCTTCTCGAACAAGAAGATGATGGAACCCATGGCGAACATCAAACTTGCTGAAAAATCGAGCACTCCCAATCGCATCCAACAATTCATCAATCCGGGGGAGGGGGTACACATCTTTGATCGTGATATTATTCAACTTTCGATAATCAATGCAAATGTGAATCCCTCCGGCTTTTTTTGACACAATCACTACGGGAAAGGACATGGTCCTATAGCGGGTTGGATCCAATCATTAGCTTCGAATTCTTTGATCCGCTGAAAAGCAGCCGCTCTTTGAGCTGGTGAGTACCTATAAGGAGCGCAACTAATAGGTGGGTGATCCCTCGTGAGAAAGGCATGTTCAATCACGTTAGTTAGGCCGATATCATTATCGCGCACACTCAATACCTCCACGTAGCCATTCAAAACACTAATTAACGACTTTTGGAGTTCGGTGGGGACGTGGTTTGGGAAGGAGATTGTTGGTCGTCCAGGGATCTGAAGAGATATGCCGACCCAATCAGCCGGCTTTTCCCGTCGCTCATGGACACTGGAAAAAACGAAACTGCTGGTGCAAACAGAGAAGACAGTCGCAATCATCTGTGATTCAGCAGGGCTGATCATTTCGGTTTCCTTGGCTTCGGCATCAGTCTCTGAACCGGCCGATTTTTTTCCACAGTTAGTCCTGTTAGATCCGCCATCTCCTGCATTAGATCGGGTACGTCGCCTGCCGATGCTTCGACCTCTTGTTTAATCAAAGCGATAGTCGCTCCCACTGTTAGCAAAGATCTTGGTGGGAAAACAAAAATATTTACATATTGTTATGTCTATTGGTAGCGTGCTCGTATGGAAAGCGCTCCTTCGTACAAGGTGCGAGGGGGTTCCAAATAATCTGCTAGGTCAGATACTTGCAGGATGGGTTCCCGGAGGAGGGTGGAGGGACTGATCCGGGTTTCCAAAGGCGTGAGCGTGCTGCCTTCCGAATCCACGTGGAAGCTTCAGGCGACTCTGGGGCACACTCGAAACTCTTCGGGGATTTCGTGCTCAAAGAGTTCGACCAGGTGCTTCCATTCATCCTCATTAGGCATTTCTTCTTCATACACCTGTTCCCCGATTCCGCTACTGATGTCCGAGGAAGAAGGTTCCTCGGAATCGATACCTTGAATCATCCCTACTTGGGCAGAGTTAGGAGTTCGTTTTACCGTCCGGGTGGAAATCCGCAACGAGACAGTCTGAGGTTTTCCCCCAGTTTGCGTGAGCACCAGTTGTTTGGAGTCGAAATGCAGACGAACACCTACCGCCATCGCCCAAGGTAATCCTAACAACACAAAATAGGAGCGCACATCTATCACTAGCGCGTTAACAAGGACGTGTACTCGTCCGACCTTCACAGCCACATTCTCAAAAATACCTATGATGTTCATTGCTTCCTCGTCGGCAGAGACATAATTGTCTTTGTCGGATTGAGGAAGAATGGACCCGAGTCGTCCTGTCTTTCTTACTGTATCTAAGGATATGGCCACTGCGGAAGATTCAGTATCGATAAGGGCGTTAAATGGTTTGCCCCAAACTTCACAATCGCACTCAGCGCTTTTCCACAACACTGGTCGAGCTCGTACGAAGTGATCCTTCTCTACTAACAAAATCGCAGCTACTCGTGATGCTTCGGGTTCTCCTGTTTCAAGTTCAGGTGGTGCAACCTCCTCGCCTCCTTCCTTCTTCTTCAACATTCGCTGTACTCGCTGGTACGTGAAGCGCTTTTGGTTTTTCTGGCAATGTTGCAGGAGCTTATCATTTGCAGCTTCGGAGATGGTGAGCAAATACCCCACCGGGATCGGAACACGGATATCCAGCTGCTTAAGCGCTCGTAATACATCAATTTCTCCCGTCCGAAACTGTGGACCGGGATTGGATTCCCGGTCGACCCATTCAAGATCATCATGGGCCGATCGGATCGCTCCGACCATGCCGGCGAGATGAAGGTACTCGAGTGGATCGACCACGTCAGCAGCGTCGGAAGAGGAAGAAGCTCCCGAGGTTGAAGCAATTGCCGTTGAGGGGGAGGGTTGCTCATATGCAACAAGTTCCCCTCCTTGGGCCGTGTCCATCAGTGCGGCCACTCGTCCTTGGTTGAGAGCTACAGGGGCCGCGGCTGGTGGAGGTTGATTACGTTTCGGCTGTGGACAGTCCCGGGCAAAGTGTCCAGGCTGTTTGCAGTTAAAACACTCAACCTTTCCTGCTGGATTAGCGGGGTAAGGGAACTGTGGGGCGTAACCAGGTGTAGGCGGGGCAGGCAAGAGGGGGAATGACGCAGGAGCAGGTCGAGCAGGGGCTGGGTTGGGCTTAATTAGCCTGCTCATTATCTGTTCCATCCGCTCCATGTGAGCTGCCTGCATTTGAACCAGGTTGCTCATCCATTCAGATTGTTTGGTGGTGGCCGTATGGATCATTTGTGCAAGATGTAAGTTTGTTACGGCCTGAGAGGGAGAATCGTTAGGGATTCTGCTTTTAACTGCCGCCACCTGTGGATTCGTTGGAGGCAAAGACGACGAAGCTAACGGGATATCAGAGGTTGTCCCGTCAGGGAGGTCATGGGGATAAAACCGTTCTACCGCCCGTAACCACGATCGTCTTTTAGCTGCTACATCCTGTATCGTATCTGTGATGTCTTCGTCTCCCTGACTGATATATTTCTTTGTATCGGCCAGGTCCAACTCGAGGGCTTTAGCGATGATAGCCGACAGCTAGTGAGTTTTCGGGGGAACCTTTTTCTGTAACTTCCCTTTCAACGCCGGACTTCGTAGAGGATCGATGAACAATTCTCGAGCGGATTTCTCATCTCGCCCGGATTTATCCAACGTGGTTTGAAATCGATCCACGAAATCAGGCAGCAATTCCCGAGGTCCTTGCGGACGACTTTTGAGTACGTACCAGGCGGCATCTTCACTGACCGTATCGAATCGGGCCAAGAACGCTTGTTTGAAAGTATTTCAATCTACCCACGTGTGCTTTCTGAACCAGTCATGCGCCGTATTACGAAGTAGCAAGGTAAGAACGCGAGGAAGATCACCCGCGTCGTATCCTTGAGCTTCGACGACTTCCGCCTATGCTTCGGGGTCGCTATGGTTAGGGAAGAAGAGGAAGGGGGCAGGAATGCTAACCATCACCCTATTACCGTCTACCATTGGTATAGCCGGTATAGCCGCACCAGATATAGATCTGGTCACTGGACGATCTCGACAAGCGGGTGGGGGACTTCTTCTACCTCTCGCCAGCTCGACTTACTATCATCAGAACCGACACGTGCCGGCTCCGATACCAACCTCACGCCCTGTGCTATCTTTCATTCGAAGTGCTAGAGGTGTGGAAAAGGGGCCCGAAAAAACAGCACGATGGGGTGTGCCAAGGATTTTTGGAAATTGAGTGTGGGGACACAGACGGAACTGAAATCCCCCGTGTTGGTCCGATGAAGTAAGTCGACCGATTTGTGCGCGTCGCAAAACGCGCGCAGGAGTTTGGTGCGAAAAGGAGGAAGAAATACAAATTCAATCCAGAAAGTATTGTCGGACTTCCCACCGTGCTACAGCCCTTCGTTTAGAGCGAAAAGGCTTCGGCACGCTTCGCGTGTCTCGTCTTCGTATTAAGTCCCAGCGTCGTTCACCGGTCAGTTCTGAGTCCCACGTGGAGGGTCTCAGTCGTGTGGCTCTTTCTCTGTGTTCGTCTTCACTCCGTACGCGGTAGTGGAAACCCTYGGATTCGTAGCGCTCAAASCGCTGGCATTCGGTGCATAGAGTGYGAGGCCAGTGGGGTTCWACTGCCGTCCACGGGATGACGATCAACTCGTTAAATGGCAACAATATCGAGTAAGGTGGAAAGTGTGTATCGATAATGACAAACCCAGCCTCTACGAACCCTGAACAATGATTTTCCGGAGGGAAGTGATATCGTTTGCCGATCCGTGCGACAGCTTCTCGTACGTCTCACTCACATACACGCGCCCTTTCCTCGTTGTAAGGAAAAGGTCGCGTTGAGACGAGAGATATGGGAGGCTGACGCCCGATTGAAGGGCGTTTGTCAGTCCACATGCCAATCAATGGCAAAAATTTCGGGACGTCGTCAAGGGAAAACACTCGCACAACCAGTAATCAATTATTTTCGACACGAGAGAGAGAAAAAAAAAACACTCATCAGCTCGATCATGCATGTAATTGAGGGACCGACCTGTGACTCAGGTTTAGTAAGTCACCGCGGCGTTGATCCCAGGCGCCTTGTTTCTCGAGGCTGCCCTCTAAATCGGTTGTAGATGTTGTGCAACATAAGGCAGATGGCATGCGCAGTGCATTCAGAACTACAGATCCAAACACTCTTGCATTCTCGAACAAAATCCCGCGGAGCGAGGCGCCTAATCAATACAAAAAGGCAAGCACCTCCATACATGCATTCACTTTGAAAGGTGTGAAAATGACAAGGGTGCACAGGTTGGAAATCAACCAAGGGAATTGTACACACGCATCCACCGTTCACAAGACAAGAGGATCAATTCTTCGATATCCGGGGATTACCCAGGAAACTAATGGAAGAGTTCCAAAAGAAGTTCCTTCACGCAGGAGAGCACACAAATTCATTCTCATTCATGAGAGGGACAAGCATTAAGACACATTATCATCATTCAAAGATAGAGGAGAGAGAGAGAGACGAGGAGGAAGGTCGAGATAGGAGATGACAAGATCCCCAAAAAAAAGGAAAATCGGCGTTGCCGCCGTACACTCACGCCAGAGATAAAGATCCGCAACAACAAAGGCGCATTCGTCGTGAATTCCAATACGGCCCCGGGCCAACCACCCACTCAACTCCAATCATCGATCCTCATGCCCGCACCGACGATCCCGACTGTCGTGTCCTAACTCCCACCACTGCGATCGTCATCCCGCCGACGTAAACTCGATGCGGTTCGCCCAGATCCCACAGTCCGTCGTGGCAATCAAGCGCGCAACCGGCCAGCCTATCGTCAGGCCGACAGGACTTTCCGACTCGCACCAAACACTCTGCCTAGCCACTGCTTCCCGAAAGCTGGCTTGGGAGTCGATAACGTAATAGAGATTTGCGAGCGAGTTTGCAGAATTTATAGTGGCGAGAAGGGGGGCAAGGGAGAGAGAAAGCAGGGGGAAAATCGAAGTGTAAGAGAAGAAGCACGAGAAGAAGACTTGGTGAGGAGCGCGCTACGGAAGCCATGTTGATCCTTCGAAACTCTAAGCTTCGCCAATCAGATTCGTCGTGCAATAGGCAGATCCTATCGTACCACGCGTCTGATTGGTGGGCGAGAGTAATCGAAGGATTGACTGGGCTTCCGATTCACGTTCGAAAGGAAAAAAAAGGGCACGAGAAGTAGCGCAAGACGGGTCCAAGATTCAGATGATCAAGAAAGGGAAATGGGCGCGCAACCGGTCAGAGCGGGAGAGAGAGAGAGAAAACAGTTGCGAGAAGGGAGGATGAGAAGGGGGGGGGGGGAGGAGGAAAGCTTCGTGTGCGTGGCGCCGTCAACAAAAAGAAAAAGAAAAAGACACCGAAACAGTTACAGCTTGCCTATGTCCTAAACCAATTCAAAATTGAAATCACCATATCCGCGCGCGAAAGGGACGACGCGGGAAAAGAAGGTCCTGCGCCTATTCGTATCCCTAAAAAATTCCGAGAGTTTTTCCCAACGCAACCGAGGACATTCACTCACAGAAAGGATACGTCGAAGTTCCGCTTATCCTGGAATTTCCAACTGTCGGGCCCAATTCCCGGTGCGCTCGCTAAGGCGCACGTAAATTCCTATGCATTTCCCGGATTGCAAAAGAAAAAGCAGAACTGAAGAATCACAAAAGCTTCAGGAAGATGGGGGCTCAAAAACGTGGCGCCCGAAATCAAGAAAACAAACGGGGTGCTTGCAGCGTCGGTATGATACAAGAAAAATTCAAACCAAAGGGGTACGAAAGATAGCACAGGCTCGGGAAGCAGTTCGTCTCATTCTCCACCAGGCTAGGGGGATTTTTCTATTATGGCCTCCAGGGCTTCCTCCGGTCGGTGACTTGGTGACAGTAGCATAGTCCCTCCCTTAGTTGGCCGGGGTCAATCCAGTTTCTCTTTTCTGTATCCCATATGTCTTTTATCCTTGTTATTCCTTGCTTGACCCAGCCCTGTCTATGCAGTGGAGGGTTTGACCCTTCGAATCCACTACCCATCTGTTTCCAAAGAGGGGTTGCGGGGCCACCTCTTCCCATCTTTCTGATGAGATTCTGTCCGGCAGGAGAAGGCTTCTCCATATTTTCAGAAGGGTAGGCCAAAAGGGGTCATTTCGCAGGTCGGTCCTTGCTGCTTGTCTGGGAAAGGGGGGGGGTGATCTCGTTGCCACGATCCTCTTTTTGGGATGGACCATCCCCTGCTTTCCAGCCACATCAGTGGGTCACACCGTTCCAATGTTTTTGGTGCTAAGCGAGTGATCTGTTCCAAGGCTAACCCCCTCCAACGAGATTCGAGGTTGAAAAGTAGACGTTTGAGCGCCACCTTGTTGTTCTTTCAGGGTCTTTTTCCGCATTTTAGTCACTCCATCCAGAAGACAGCACAGGGCGTGAGGTTGAACCTCACAAGTCAAACTTTAAGTTGCTCAAATTATGGAAACAGCTCTGTCGACTACCTGACCAGAAGGCAGCTAGCACTTTATGACTGCAGCCCATGTACGCTGTCCCCTCAGCAGTATGGTTGTCAACCAAAGGCATGTCCCTCTCATTGACCTGCGCCCTATGTGGCTGGGCAATTGAGACTACCCCCCATCTTTGGACTAACAGCCGACACTCTCTCCCTATCTTGCAGTGCTGGAGAAGACACTGGGCCAGATAATGGCCCAGATTTGGACCGATGGACATTGATTGGCCGGATGGCTGGATTCTTTCAGGATGCAAGAACTCGAAAGGCTCCGTGGACGCAGGCTGGACCTATATCGCCCAGGTCTGCAGAGGGGTTATCATGGGCACAATATGGCATACAAGAAACAAAAAACTGTTCAGCGAAGAAAACACACGTTTGGAACACTCCAAGGCCTTGATTAAAGTTGAGCTTAGGCTTACGATTATAACTGACTGGCAAAGGAGAGAAATTCTTTGGTTCCTGAGGACTTGGGTTTTAAATAGCCAATTGGCAGTTGTTTCATCTGATGGAAAACTGATTATAAGCTGCTGGTTGGGTCCTGCAGCCCTTGGGCTATAGTAGGAGGACAGATTTCATTACCAGTTACGCTCCAGTCTGTCGGGGACAGGAGGCAGTATTAGGTTGTAGAGACCCCTCTTTGGTTGATTGGTCTGGTTCCCTTGCTCTCCTGTTTATTTGTCCATTTGCTACCTTGTTCTGGGTTGCTCTATCAGGGGACGCTGGACCCACTTTCCAAGGCCCAGATTTGTGGGTTGAGATGTGGAGGGATTCCAGGCCTCTTTTTCATTTCATTTTATTTTATTTATTTATTTATTTATTTTAAGAAAAACTCAGGTTGTTGTAGAGGTGGGATACTAAACGGATGGCAGTCACCCACAGTGCTCGGCCACTCGGTTGTCCTGATGAACCCCTCTGAAGACCCCACCCACCCTTCCTCTTTTCTTTTTCAGCCAAATAATGAAACAATGCAACTCTTTTTCAAAAAAAAAAAAAAAAAAAAANACCCCACCCACCCTTCCTCTTTTCTTTTTCAGCCAAAAAAAAAAAAAATGCAACTCTTTTTCAAAAAAAAAAAAAAAAAAAAAACTTTAAAAAAAAAAAAAAAAAAAAAAAAAAAAAAAAAAAAAAAAAGAATCATACCCAAGGGCTGATTGATCGTTTCTTATTTGTGGTTTTGATTTGTTTTTTCCGGTTTGTGAAATTTAGGTTAGTACCTTAGGGTTAACATCGGCCTTGATCCCCCCGGGAGAGCAGCCTCCACACAACTGAGGAGTTAGGATAGTAGCCCCCGTCCAGGCCGAAAGACTGCTCGGCCATCAATTGTCGTTTGATCCACTTTTGATTCAAGACCCGGCTCCTTCTATAGCAGGCCTGCGCTCGGTGCTGGAACCATGGACCAAATATAAGGGAGCTAGTTTGGTTGGAAGAGCTATAGTGATCAATAATGCAGTGTTGTCAACATTATGGTTCCATAGATCGATTCATCAGCTCGATCAGTCGGCATTACAGACAATACGACATCTGTTGACTCATTACTTGTGGAAAGAGGAGCTCAATGATGATAATTTATTGCCGAAAGTCGCATGGCAGACCATTACCCAACCAAAACGG